GGATTCACAGGGTTTTACGCGGGATGCCCTACCGGACGCAACGCTCACTATTTATCCGGGCTTGGGACCGGCACAGAAGTCACTGGCTTACAACCCCTTTGGCTAGATTAGTAAAATTCTAAAAATAAATAAATAAAAAAATTTAAATTCATTTAAATATCAAAGTACAAGGTTGGCTGAAGTAAAATGTGAAATATGTGAAACTGGCCGTTTGTGTACTCATAATTGATGATGCCAGACAGAACAGGCCTGACTGATCAATACAAACATACATATATCAGCACCACGTTACTAAAATATAAGAAACAAATAACTTCAGAAATACAACAAACCAGCCTGTTGGAAGAGTGACTTTAGCTGAACCTTTAAATTCTTCATCTGCTGTGTTTTCAGGCTCGTTTTGGGACGCTGTCTGATTACTTTGAGGCCCTTCATCGACATCTGACTGCAGCAGAAACGACTCTGCCAACGCTTCGTGGAGACTTCTTTACGTACGCTGACCGCGACGACCATTACTGGAGTGGATACTTCACCTCCAGACCATTTTACAAGCGGCTCGACAGAATGCTGGAGGCCACGCTCAGGTGCTGTTCCTATAGACCGTTCATGTAGACAGTACTTGTACTTAAGTACGTTAGCTCTGTTGATAAATACGAGTTGGGTCTGTTCTGTGTTTTTGATGTTCTTTATTTTAATGTATTTATGTAAACACTAGAAATGATTTTGGTATTTATTTCATTACATGTCAACACTTTATTTTTCATTCATCCATGTTTCCTCTGAATGAAGTTTAGCATCTTATTGTAAAGTTGCCATGAGTCTTTTTCTTTCCGACAGAGCGACAGAAATCCTCTTCAGCCTGACACTGGCTGAAATGCGACGTGTCCGTGGTGATGGTCACCTGGTTGCAGATTTTCCTGCACGTAAACACTTCCAGCTTCTGAAGGCAGGAAGGCGGAACCTGGCGCTTTTCCAGCACCATGACGCCATCGCCGGCACCGCCCGCGACCCTGTGGTGGTTGACTACGGCACTAGGTGGTTACTTCTTGTTAACACACTGTTTTAGTTAAAAGTTAGGACATTCGTGTGATTGGCTAAAAGTTGCAAACGCTTGGTAAAAATGCACTAGCGTGTTTTTTGTCTCATTTACTCCCCCATGCTCTCTAAAGGATGACGTCATCACTGGCAAAGGCAACAGGTACCGCCTTGCTTAGTGTATGCAGTTAGCATGTAGCCTTAGCCACCCATCGCACGCATCCATTTAGTGTTAGCATCTAACATTGCCATTGCTCCCATTTAAAAACATCATTAACATTGTATTTTTACAGTATAGATTGTTGGTTATTGTTTTTACTTTTCAAGTTGTAGTTGTGATTTTTTTTTTTAGCACTTTAGTACTTGTGTAAAATCAAAACTAGAAACAGCAGTTTGGGGGAAAAAATAAAAAATATGCCTGATATCTGCAGTTTGAATCAAATCAAACAAGAAATTAAACAAACTAAAAAATAAAAAGAAACAAATCAAGTAACTGAACTAAAAAAATAAGAAGAAATAACATTAAAGAGGCCATGGCATGCTTTTTTGTTTTCTGACTTGCGTATCTACAGTGTTATCATCTTAAACATGACTGAAAGGTCAATAAATGAGGTGTATCTATGTTGTTGTGCTTCTATGCAGAAGCAGCTCAGTTTATACAAGTCTCACAAATTCTTTCTGGTGAGACTTTTTTTCCAACTATGTAAAGTCTTACGCAGTAGTTCAAGGATTTGCCTGAATGGTCATAATATCCAGGCAGTTGCGCACTCATGTGAGCTTGCCCGACATCCACTGGTGCCATTGTAAAAATTGAATTTTTTTGACTGTCTCGCTGTTTTACCTGACCGGGTCTAACCTACAAGCAGCCGGCCTGTGAAGCCCCCGCGGCGGTTAGTGATCAGCTCATCAATGCTGGATTCCCCCGGAGCACAGTACTTGTTTGTCCTGACTGCTTGAGGCCAGTGTGTCTGTAGCATGTGTTGCTGGTTAACCAGTGGATTAACGAACCATGATGTTATTGTCAGTGCTACGCTACCTGTTGGAATTAATTTCACTACTTTGGGACTGTATGTGGTCGTGTGGGGGAAGA